TTTGTGTTAAGACAATCATTGAGCGGCGCCATAAATTAACCACCTAATGTTTCTCTTCCGAGTGATTATCGTTCCTTTTGGATGGTTATATCTTGTGTGTGACGGTTTAAACATAATTTTCTCCGAAACGATTCTCCTACGCTTGATCGTGCTGAGCATAGTCGATTGACCTACTTTGATGAACATATCTGATATTGGCCGCTACCAGAACTCCGTGGGACGTGGGCTGAATCCCGTCCCGTCAAGAAAAACGAAACTAGGGCGGGACGAGACGTGAGTGGGAACGAGAAGCCGCAGGGAACTGGACTGGAGGAGGAGACGAAAGAATACTCTTGGATGAGGAAACTGACAGAAAAAAAACGAAACTGAACTAGATGTGCACAATGCTTCCTTACTCGCTCGACTACAGATTGTGGGAGCGGATTTTCTGACAGACTGACGAAGCAACACGCCTGATATGAAACATTTTTCTGGATGAAAAAACAGGGAATCGAAGGTGATGAATCTGATACATAGCAGAGCCCGAAACGAATCAGGATTTTCTTATTCGGTTCGGTTCGATTCGGGGCAACAGTTTCAAATCCTAAGTCGGTTCGATTCGATTCGATTCGGGCCAGTTCAATGAACAGTAAAGCTTGTTTTTTTTTTGTTTCCAAACGTTTGTTTAAGATATATCGCCTCGAGTTGGAACACTTGAGCAGAACATGTCATTTATGTGACTACAACTTTGAACATGAAGTAAAACAAAACAAACAAGATGAATATAAACAAGAAATGTTGTGTTCGCATGATTAGTCTTTTCATTTATTATTTTTGATTGAACGTAAAAGTAATATGTTGTTGATAGTCGATGGATCTAAGCTTGAGGGACGTTGGGGACTGTGCAAAAATTACGTCAAAATTTATTTCTTAGCTCCTCTCCATAAACTTTTCAATGAAAAGTAAAGCTTACTTCTCTTTTGTTTCTTTTCTTTTTTTTGTTTTTCTCTTTTGATCCATGTTTCGAAAATGAAATTTGGTTCGATTCGATTCGACTCCATGTTTCAAAAATAAAATTCGGTTCAGTTCGGGAGGCAGCCGAATCGAACCGAACCGAATGTCGAATCATTCGATTCGTTTCGGGCTCTGATATATGGTCCATTTGGGCTTGACCCTGTAAAAAACAATTTTTTCTGATCTGTTTGTGTTTTAGAACAAATCGAGTTGATATAAAACAAGGTTTTCTTCAATTAAAAGGCGGTTATCATATGCAGTCGAAATAGATTTGGCTGGAGTTTTTTCGCACTTGGCAACATGTCTCTACCTACTGTACTCGAGCTACTTATGGTTATTAATTAAAGATATGATTATAAGTAGCCGGCAGAAAAGGTAATTATTTTACGGATAATGCCTCCTATTGTAACGGAAAACACCTGAGCAGAGATATTTTCGAATTAGTCATGTCCCTATGCTTTTAAGTAACTTGCAAAAAAGATTTTTCTTCAATTCGTCTGCAAAAAGCTCCAGCCATATCTATTTCGACTCGATATGTTGTCGATGGCGCAATCGTTTAACCCATGGAGAAAAGTAATTGCTGAGGTTTTTGATTAGAAACATGTGATTTTCCAGCGCTTTTGTGGACAACAAAATTGTTATGTCCGTGAGGAGGGATGCAAAAATGCAAACTTCTTGGTTTTTATTTTTAAAAACGGTGATAAACGCGTTTATCTGTTAGATACACCAGCAACGCGTTGCATTTTTATACGCACGAAGAAAATGTGTTTCCAGCTCGATGAATTGTAAAACCCGCGTTCGCACGAGCGGAAACTGCGTTGTATCAGAATAACTACCTACGCGAAACAAAAATGACCTTTCAATTCACTATATTAGAAAAGAACAGTTCTGAGTATGAAGATACCAATTGAACAGTTTTAAAACATTGGCGCACGTTCCAGGATTTTCACAGCTCCAAGAGACCTTTGGTACTCTATTCCATCAAAACATTCGTATCCCGTAGTGCTGGAACATTTAGAATATAGACTAATGTAGCCGCGAAAAAAGATGGCAGGTGATGGTTTCTTTAAGAACTCGAGAACGATAAGTGCTAGAGACTTGTGGGTTGCAGCAGTTGCAAGTGGAGGGTTGTAGCTAATTTTTCACAACCATAAGTTGGTTTTTCAAAGCGTTTATAGACCGGTTTTGAGAGCATTTTTGAAAAACCACCTCGGTTGTCTGGAAACTGCTACAATAATCTATCCGCTTTTTTCGCAGGTAGATACTCGAAAAACATTTTCTACAAAATCGGATCTAAGCAAAAGTGTCGTTTTGCTTGGTTGGGGCGCTACGGACGTTTTCTCGGAAGCCTTTGGACTTCTCTATTGTTCATCTCTCCTATAAACACTATTTCTCTACAAAAACCTGTTCTAACCGCTCGACAGAGTTATAGATCATTTTTCCTGCCTTATAACTAGCATCGCTAGTAAAGGACCTGTCGTACATTTCGTGCTAACGTTAAAAATAAGGTCGACATTTATGGCTAGTAACGTGTGAGTGATTACTTATAAAGACTAGTATTTAAATATATACATAAGTGTACGGCCTTCATCATAACTCATAGTTCGGCTTGGCCAAAAGTCTCCGAATTTCATTTTTTTGACTTAATTAACGTCGTTCTCGACATGGTAAGACTGTAAGTACTTGAGATTTTTACCATAAGTTGATAGTCACGCGTTCTAACACCGGAAAAATTTCGTTACATTTGGACACGTCATTTAGGACTTATAAAAAAAACACCGTCAGTCTCGGAATTTCAGAAAATGGAAGTTGTCATCGATAGGGCAACAAAGTTTTGCATTTTTCGACGAAACTAAGGTAGCTGCAGGAAAACTTTCTAGACAAAAGTTGTAGAGTTTGAAATGAGCTTTCAGAATATCTACTTGTTTTTTGGAAACAGATCGATCAATTTGAAGAAATTTTAGAAATAGTCGTGGTCTCGGAATTTCACCTTTTTCTGCTCTTCTTTTGCAGATGGTTTCGTATATATTTTCTTTGTCACTGAACTGCATACCAGGCTCTGATTTGCACATAGATAGATAGGTTGAGGTGCCTTATATCCGATGCAACAAAAAATAAAGTTTCAGAATTAGATTAGATGGGTAGAAAATTATTCACAAAATAAACGCCGAAACTCTTTTTACAAAATCAAAAAAACATTTTGGCATCCAAACATGAAAAAAAATGAGGTATTTTGTAGAGAATTCGATTCTCTATCCGATGGTATACTTTGTAGAATTTTTGGAAAAAATATCTAGATCAGGAAATTAAATTTAAAATTTAAAAATTTTTAAATTTGATTTTTTACTTTGAAAATTTAACTTTAATTTGCTTTTGAGTTCAGATTTGTAATCAACGTAAAAAATTGCGTCTAATAATATATTTTTAAGCTTTGTTTGAGTGAAAATAAAAATTCTAATCTTCTGATCCAAAGGGTGACCGTTAGTTGGCCACGCCGAGTTGCCTTTTGCACAATTTAGTGCAATGAGACTAGGAGAAGTGCAACCTATGAAGGTTGGAAGATCGATTCCAGAGAAGAACTTCAAAAATTGTTCTGATAAAACGTACGTATCAAGTGATGCTGAAACTTTTAGGATCTAGACACGACTCGACAAAGAACAGAATGTTTCATAAATAACCAAAATCTTTTCTTCGTAATAAATATTCTTAAACTTTTTTATTCACAATCAGGGATCTTGGACGAGTCGGTTCGTGATGATGACCGGGGATTTTATAAACTTGATTATTTACTGTTACGGGTTTCAGACCTAACGGGAATAACATGTGTTGTTTTGCTCTCCAAAATAAAAAATCACTGGTGCCTCTTCGGTGCCTTATACTATTAAACAGCACAGCTTTAGCTCTTTTGTTGAAAACGATGTAAAAGAATACATATCGAAAAGAGAAGACAATATGGAATAATAGTTGACTAAATAATTAGTTAAAAGTAACAACAGTTATTTAATTTGCCGAAGATCGAAGAAGATGCAGAATTTTGGACTAAGAAAAATTTGGCTCTGTAGCTGGCGGGCATAGTAAAGATAGTCTGATAGATGTCTGACAACGTTGTAGAACTCTGGCTGCTGCTCTTTCAAACGATACAACGAAGATCTAGGCATGAGGTTACATGGCTCGCACGCGAGATGAATCATAGTGCTCTCCCGTATATTTTGAAAATCTGGGGCCTGTTTCTCAAAAACACGTAAGTTTTACTTAAGTGAAAAATTTCACTTAAGCAAAATATTTTACTTAAGTGAGTTTCTTAAAAACACTTAAGTATAATTTCCTGTTTACTTAAGTGAAATTATTCACTTAAGTAAAACTTAAGTTTTTTCGAGAAACAGGCCGCACTTAAGTTGTTTTGAGAAACAGGCCCCTGATTTTTGGCATACATTCAACAAACATTGTATAGATTATCAAATGTGTGTTATTATGATTCTGAATTCGGTTGTCCCTTTTTTTACTGAGAAACTGAACTGAACTGAGTTTCGGAGTCACCAGATCGTAAATTTTTCTATCACCCAATCAGAAAAGTTCAGTAAAATCAGTTTCTCAGTAAAAAAAGGGACAACCCTGAATTCCAGATTTTCTTACTTGAAAGTATAAGCGACATCATCTATAACGACACTGAAGAGGAGGTATATAGCAAACTTTAATTGGTTACAAGCATTTGAATGTTTTTCATTCTCAAATTAAGCAACTAAATGAAATATAAATGAAAAAAAAGAGGGAATAAGATTTTGGGGGGACTTCGATGCATGCTGTCTAAATATCGATTTTAACGAGATGTTAGAAGATGGGATAGAATTAAGGTAGTCGTAGCTTAGTTCTGAGATTATAACGCTTATACAATAATTATGCTGAAAATTATACTGTAAGATGATTTTAAATTCAAGATTTGATAAATGCTTTCAATCTTTGTTGTTTGTTCTCTGAGCTCAGCTGTGCGATTACCTTAGATCGAGAATATGACGAATTGCAGTCCTCGCGCACCTCGAGTACTTTCCATTCAGAGTCACGTTGTTCATGGTTATGTTGGAAATAAATGCGCTACATTCATTTTACAAGTACATAACAAAAAAGAAACATGTCTTTTCTTAAGAATTTTGTACTGTTTTTTCTGTTAGCTATATGGCTTTGAGGTTGACCTCATCAATTCCGTTCAGTTTTCGAATCATACAGGTGAGAGAGTAAATGATTATGATATTTTGTTTGTTGCGCCAATTGACTATAGATAATATCGTTTTTTTTAGCTTACAAAGTCGTTAAAGGTTCACGTTTGAGCGTCGATGAGTTACGGGAAATATTTCAGGGTTTAATTGACAATGATCTGTTGGACTATGATTATATTCTCACTGGTAGGAGAATATTCCTGATTTTTTATTCTGCTGCATTTCTCGTTTTTATGCCTTTGTTAGGTTACATGAGTGCAGGCGAATTACTTCGTACGGTTGCTGATTACATTCGACTCATAAAACAAAAAAATCCTAAGGTCAAGTACGGTAATAGAATAACACTTTCATTGTAATATCTGTCAAGCGACGTTAACATGTCTTGTTTTCTTGTTACAGTGTGTGATCCTGTTATCGGTGATGGCGGAAAATTGGTAAGTTAATGATATATCATCTAACATCTCTTTTGAAAAGAATACAGTGCAGTTTCTTTTATTATAAAGTATGTTGATCGATCTTGTATTGATGCATATAAAAACAATTTGTTACCACTCGCAGATATTGTAACCCCAAACGACTTTGAATTTGAGTAAGTGCATTAATCAAACTGTAAAAGTAGACGTTAGATTTCTGTTTTCTTCTTTAAGACAACTGATTGATTCGAAAATTAATTACGCCAATGACACCGATGTCATAGAATCAATGAAACGTTTACATAAAATGGGACCGTCTCAGATTGTTATGTCAAGTATTCAATCCCCTTTTGATTCTCAAAAATTACATTTATTTGCAAGTTCAAAAATAAACGGTATCATCTTCTACCACACAGACTCTTCAGTATGTTGACGTCTGGTTTCATCCGTTGTTTTAGAGACAAATTATTCAATGTTTCGTATTGAATTTCCAAAAATACCATTTTATTTTACAGGAACTGGCGATACATTTTCCGCATTGCTGTTAGCGTGGATTCACAAACAAAATGAGCTTAACGTATATCACTTTTCTGAGAATCTAAGGACGTTTATTTAATATTCTATCTATCTGTTTAGGTTGCATGTGAGAAAACAATATCAGTCATTTATAAGATTTTGCTGAGAACTTCAGGTTCGCATTTTTTTATCGAAAGTCAAAGTTTAATTTGTTGTTTCATTTTATCTTTCTTTTAGAATCGTCAGGCTCAGAAAAAAAAGCAGAAGCCGGAATGTGTTCGAACGAATTGTGTTTAATACAAAGCAAGAAAGATATTGAAGACGCAGAAACGTTATTTTTTGCAAAAACAACTGAGACCATGTAGTAACATATTACTTTGCTTTTTTTTTAAATTTTGTAACGATTTTTTTGCGATGTATGCATTCCGTCTTTTGATAATTCAATAAACTCAAATTAGCTGTTCTCCTTCCCTTTTGTCCAAAAAGGTACAGTGCAAAGTTTGATGTAGAATTTTCTCTTAACGATTTTTGTTTTGGTCAATTTATATATATTTTTCCAGATATTTCGACGCCATATATGAGCCATTATATAACGGTCAAATGCTCCTCATACTCGCAATTATCTAGATACCATTAAAAATGACTCGAATTAGAGAATTCCGAAGAAGTTGTTGTCATGATGGCTGATCTGTATGCTGTTACTTTATTCACAGATCCAAATGGAGGACTGTTTCCGTGGTACTGTACCGGACTTTACATCGCTGTTTGTCGCAATCATTCTGATTTGAGAGAGCGTTCAGTTCTGAGTTTTAAAACATTCGTGATCGCAGCAGAGTAATTTTTATTTTACATTCACGTGGTTTCGTTACGTAAACATTCATAATTCTATATGAGAATCAAGTATTTTTTATTTCTGTGATTGTTGCGGGGTTTAATATCCAAAAGAGATTCAAATGTTCTAATGTTTTTATTTTGAATTTGTTAAATGCTTCTCGTAGTTGTCAAGCGTATTCAACACATTTAGACAACTATTTTAGAGACAACATCGTCGTTACTAGGTTGTGAAATCGATTCCAAATTGACGAAACTATTATTTATGTGAATATCAGGAACAGTTTTGTTAAGTTGCATATAAGTTTATTTTTGGTCTTTTTAAATAGCATATCATACTGAATTGGTACGGTTAATGGAAATCAATTCAGCTGTTCAACGAATATTTCATATTTCTACTTGCAAAGTAGATGGGATCTTCATCCAACAAAATACGTATTTTATGTAAACTGGTTCCTATTTGACCAAATCTATCTCACTCGGTTCATTTATGTATCCTGTACTTCAACCAGATTCTCCTGTTTAAATCAGCACATTTACTCATTGACGATGATCAACTGTCATATCTATATTTATTGAAAAATGTTATATCTACAAAAACAATTATTTCCTGTACCAAAAATGATGTCTGGTATCTGTCTGGTAGCTCCGAATCTACACATTCAAACAGCTGGATTTTGCAAAGCATTAAAGAGGAGAAAGTCGATGTAAGCCTTAAACATTGATTTAGCATTGTGTACCTAATACTGATTGATAGAGCTTTTCAAGGGCTACAAAATGAGTATATTCTCTTTTTATCATCCAATTCAATGAAAGTGGTGGAACAATACGCTCTTTCGACTTAGAAAGTTGGTCCTTTTCATCATGTTGAGTATTTTTCGTTTCATTTTTCTTCTTAACGTTTTATAGAAACAAGTTGGATCAAGCTTTGTAGAGAATTTAACGGCGCATCTTTTGGAAAAACAAACAAGTCTACGGATTGAAAAGAAATTATAAGCAAAATACGAAGAGGGCCACTTATGTTGGGTACTCGATAGTTGAATTTATCATAGAACATTGCAAACTATTTCAAGCTGAGTATTTGAAATTAATGTAGAATTAGAGTTATATTTATGATCTGTTACAGCAGGGAAAAGCCAAATCTGCAACAATCTTCAACCAAACACTCAGTGACATCAAACAGATTATGGAACTAGATTAGATTTTTTTATTTCATATTATTAACACATTCTGTTTTGTGACTTCATACATACTTTCTGTGTTTATGCACTTTTTTGTCTTATTTGATAAACACATTATAGAATATATGTATTTTAATTCTTTTGACCTGTTTTATACCTATAAAACTTGTTCTAAACGAAGTATAACTGTTAAGCCCTGTAAAATAAGCGTTAATAACTATGAGTTTTTTCTAGATTATTTCGTTTTTGGAGTGAAATGAACGCGTTTGAAACAGAACTTGGTGTTCAGCCAGAGCTGGCTAAAGCGGTCGATGATATGGGATGGCTTTTACCAACAGACGTTCAATCAGAAGCAATTCCGATGATTTTGGGTGGTGGTGATGTGCTAATGGCTGCAGAAACTGGTAGTGGGAAGACTGGCGCATTTTGTTTACCTATTTTACAAGTCGTTCATGAAACACTGAGAGATATCCAAGAAGGAAATATGGGTCCAAAATCAAGTAGAAAAGGTACAATATATATCTTGATTGATGTATTTGTTAAAAAATAATTTTACATATTTTTCTTTTTCTTTCAGGTGTTGGAGATGTATCCAAAGCTGTGTTATTGAATTTTCATGATCGTACTCAAAATATGTGTAATCATTGTCAATTATAAAGAGGAAGAAGTCTAAATGAGAAGTAACTAAGATGATTTTGTTTTTTAGCTATTGATACTGATGGATTACTTTGTCAAAGTCGAGATCAAAAAATATGGGGTGGTGCACGATCGAATAAAGGAGTCAAAGGAAAAGGTTTGTTGAAAAAATTTCGTTTGTTGAAAAAAGTTTTAAAGATCCTTTTATTTAAGGAAAATATTATTTCGAAATGACACAAACGGAAGCAAATGGAATTGCCCGAGTCGGTTGGTCAACATCTAATGCTCTACTAGATCTTGGTACAGATGATCAAGTAAGTAGATATAACACTTACTGACTGAATGCCTTTGATTAATTCCGATTAAACTCAGACTCAACTAAACTGAATACATTGTCAGACAGACGCTTTCTTATACTTATTAAAATTTTGATAATTGGTACCATAGACTTAATAGCACTTTTCTATCTGTACACTTTTGTCCTTTAATTTATTCTAGGGATTCGGTTATGGTGGCACTGGGAAAAAAGCATATGCAAAACAGTTTGACGATTATGGCGAAGTATGTTTGAATCACGATTGGTTCCACATTGTCTGAAAACGTTGTGGTTTTTATTTAGACTTTTGGTGTCAATGATGTGATTGGATGTTTACTTGATCTAGATACAATGAGAATAAGATACTATAAAAATGGTAAGATTCAAGCCAAAAAATGTTTCTTGATCTTAGTTGTGACACGAAGTTCATGAAGTGAACAAACTAAATTTTATTTAAGGAAAAGATCTTGGTCACGCCTTTGATATCAGACGACAATTACATGAAAATGTATTTTTTGCACATATTTGTATCAAAAGTTGTGATGTCCGGATGAATTTTGGCGGAAGTTCATTCAAATCATTACCGGTAAATTATTGCTTTCAAGAGAAGAAAAGTCAAATTACATAAGAAATGCAATGCTTTGTTTTTTAATAGAATGACTGTGTTTCGATTGAAAATGCTCCTAAAGATTGTTTAGTCGATTCAGCTACGCGTGGTGCTTCCACCGCTCCACTTAAGTCTCGACCACCAAATGCTCCACTTGCAATTATACTTGAAGTAAGTAAGATCATAGTCATGTTGTTTTAATATAAATGTCTGACTTGTTCGATAGCCATCAAGAGAATTAGCCGAGCAAACACTAGGACAACTGCAAAAATTTCAAGTATATCTGGAAAACCCAAAATTACGGTTAGTTCAGTTTCTAGCTATATATTCTCATCTTTTATACTTTGACTCTTTTTTCGTAGACATTTACTAATTATTGGTGGCGTAGCTGTTGGTCAACAAACACGTGTGCTTCGTGAGGGTATCGATATAATTGTTGCTACTCCGGGTCGTCTCGAAGAATTAATTGGTAGTGGTGAAATTAATTTGACACAAATGCGATTTTTTGTACTTGATGAAGCTGTAGGTTTTCAAAAATAAAATGTCACTTTGCTATAAAGTCTATTTTGAATTTTTGTATCTATTTCAGGACGGTCTTCTAGCACAAAATTACAAAAATTTAATCCTGAATTTACATAAACAAATACCAAATGTCACTGCTGATGGTAAACGTTTACAAATGATTGTCTGTTCTGCAACATTACATAATTTTGAAGTGAAAAAATTAGCCGATCAAATTATGCACTTTCCGAGTAAGTTATTTATTTATAGACATCGTTACAATGGATAAGTTTTTTTTTAATATTGATGTTAATTAATTCGAATCGTATTTGAATCTTTTTAGCATGGGTCGATTTAAAAGGACAAGATACCGTTCCTGAAACTATTCATCACGTAGTAAGTAAAATTATTTATATATAATACGGTATAAATTTGGATTTATACTTAGTACAGTAGTGATTGTGACGCACAACTAGTCGATGAACTACTTGTTGTTTATATTTAGTGAAAAAAATAAAATTATTTTTGATATAACAATAGATGTGACATTAATCGTTTATTTTCGCGTTTTATTTTAGGTCTGCATTGTCGATCCAAAGAAAGATACACGTTGGCGAAATCTTAGACACCATATTAAAACAGACGAGGTGCATGCTGCTGATGAGCTTAATTTCAATAGTGAATCAAAAGGTACTAAAAATTAAATTTTAACTGGAACTCAGTAAAACTTCCAAGATTAATTTTTCTATTTAGAAACTTTGTCTGAAGCGGTCAAACTTCTAAAAGGCGAATATTGTGTACAAGCTATTAATAAATTTAAAATGGATAAAGCACTTATTTTTTGTCGAACAAAAATAGATTGTGATAATCTTGAACATTATTTTATTAAACTTGGTGGCGGTAATACTCATTTCTATCATCTCTTTTTTTAAGATCTTTCTCTTTCGTTTGTTTTAGGACCAAAAGTTCAAAATCATCAATTTTCTTGCGTATGTTTACATGCCGATAGAGCGCCAGATGAACGAAAACAAAATTTGGAAAAATTTAAAGTATGATTTTACAGAAAATTTTAAGATTAATATGGTGTATATGTTGTTTATGTATTTAGAACAATCAGACACGTTTATTAATTTGCACCGATGTGGCTGCGCGTGGAATTGATGTTAGCGGTTTACCATTTGGTGTGTATCAGTGATTTCTAACTATACAATATAATTATTTTATTATTGTTTTTTTCAGTAATTAATTATACATTACCCGATGAAAAAGAAAATTATATACATCGAATTGGACGTGTTGGCAGAGCTGATAGGTAAATCGTTTTTTTTATCTTTTTTTTTCTGTTATCATTCTATGCCACTGTTTATGTTTAGAATGGGTTTGGCAATAAGTTTAGCTAGTGTTGTCAAAGAAAAAGTAAACAAAGCATTGTTTAATTATCTTTGTTTTTAAAGCAGTTTTTCATTCAATTCAATAATAGGTTTGGTATCATACATGTAAAGGGAAAAATTGTCGCGATACACGTTTAAGAGAACAAGGTGGTTGTTGTATGTGGTATGATGAAATGCAATATTTATCTGATATTGAAGAACATTTGGGTATGATGTGAATCGATGTATACACCAATTTATTTATTTAATTTCTTCTTATTTAGGCGTTACTGTATCTCAAGTTGATCAAAAATTGGATATACCAGTTGATGAATTTGATGGCAAAGTAACATACGGTCAAAAACGAAAACAACAAGGTGAGAAAGTCAAATGAATTTCGATGTTTGAACGTATATATGAATGTTTGTCTATGATGATTCTAGTATCAGCATCTAAAGATCATATTGATACGTTGGCACCAGCTGTCCAAGAATTGGTTCAATTAGAAAAACGTGTTCAAACATCGTATTTAACATTGAGAAATAATAAAAATCTTCTTAGTGCAAAATGAAATCAAGTATAACAGAACAGTTGTGTATATCTAGGCAATTTTTTGTTTCTAATTTGTTCTGTATTGAAGGTTAACCAGAACATTTTATTTCCGTTATTTTGTTGACTTTTTATTCATTGTTATTCAAGCATTTGTGTCTGACTTTTATTATTTTTTGTTTTTGAACATAAAAACTTTTCAAAAAAGTATTGACCATTCCGTTTTGCCACTGAAAATGGACAAGCTTTAATATTTCACAACCATGATAGTATATAAGACAGAATGGTCAGATATAATCTACGCCTAAAATAGTACGAGTTCTCTCTCTGTGGTAAAATTTACAAAATCACATATTGTCGAAAAATTAGTCAGCATACAGCATAACAATTTGTAATATCAGCGTGAAGCAAAAATGAAAGTGGATTGTTACTCTTAAACATTGATATCAACGACGATAACTTTAGCTATAAAGATCAAGGTTTTTTTCTCCAAAGCATTTCACGCATGATAATAAAGTTTTTTTGAACTTGGACGTTTTCCTAATATATTCCTAGCATTTTCATCTGATAAATTATTAACCTTTGTTACAACTTTACTTTTCTTTAATGAAGTAATATGAGTAGCGGGAACTTCAGTTTGTGGCTGCTGTTCGAGTTTGGTTAGCAATTGCTGCTTTTTTTCCTTCGTTATTATATTATTTTCATCATCTGTATTGTATCTATCACATGATTGAAAATCAAGGTTTTCTAAACTATCGGCGTTATAATTTTGTTTTTTCTTTTTATCCAATTTATTATTCTCCGCATCATTGACCGATTGAGATTTGAAATAATCTACTTTACTATCGTTGTTCATAGAAAATCGATGTATCCGGTCATTATCAATTGATATCTCACGTCCAACTTGCAGTGTTGCCTAGAATAATTAATACTATACTATAAACATTTTTCAGACAGAAAATTATAAACAGAAAAATATGTTAGTCACCCAGTTACTCAGGTGCATAAGAGCGAGTTTCTCAGCAAATAAATGAGTTACTCAGAAGCCAGAGAAAATCACTTACTCAGGTACATAAACGGCAGTTTTTCAACTTAAATTTCTTAAAAAATTTCTGAGTAAGTCAAAATTTTTTGGGTAACTGTATCCAAACGAGAGGGTGGTTTGCCACTCCCTACCACTTCCTAATCGATAACGCTGATAGTCCGAATGCCAAAGCGAATTGTGGAGTTTCCAATAAAACTGATTCCAAGCTCAAGCTATGATGAAGAAGAGATCGGGGCTGCATGACTTTGTGATTCAATCATTTATGCTTGGAAAACCTGCAAATCTATATTTTCCTCAATAATTAAAGTTGTATTAGAGATTTATTTCTTCTTGTATTCTGGAATAATAACGCAAATTTAATTAGATTTCAGTTCACCATGATCAAACGCATTAAGAGGGAAACCTTTCGAGATGATTAAAATCTTTTTCTAATTCAAACCCGATTTTCCAAAGTAATTCTTGATGCTGCTCACAAATTTGATATTCATTTCAGCCCATGGGGACTTTTACTATCTGTCTCTCGAGATCCACTGCATAGTTCCAGTTTAACAGGTTCTGATACCATCAGTATATAGAGCAACTCGAGTTATACGTATGAGAAAATTTTTAGACCTATGGAATAAGTGCTGAAGTAAAAAATAGCTAGATAAAATAAACTTCAACAATAGGAAAACACAGAGACGCAAGAGTAAAGGACGAGGACGCATTTGAGCGAGAATCAGCCTACTCATATTTTCCACTTCCAATGACCGAATTTATTAGAAAAGTCACATTTCTATTATTCTCTGTCATTCCCGAGCGAAAAAGATAAAAACAGATGAAAAAAAGTTTTTCTTCACCATCATTATCTTGCTGTCCCATCTAACAAGTAATTTAATTATTTCTCTTGGCTAAAACGATAGATAAGATTCATTCGACCATTGTAGGTAGACGATGAAAAACTGAATTGAAAGGCACCCAAATCATATCTTCGCTGCTATTTGTTAAAAAATGGTAGACCAAACTTTTATATGGTCACATACTTAATAGGATACAGATTCACAAAATTTTAATTCTTTTGTGTACTTAAAAGTCAGGGACCTGTTTCTCAAAAAAACTTAAGTTTTACTTAAGTGAAAAATTTCACTTAAGTAAAATATTTTACTTAAGTGAGTTTCTCAAAAACACTTAAGTATAATTTCCTGTTTACTTAAGTGAAATTATTCACTTAAGTAAAACTTAAGTTTTTTCGAGAAACAGGTCGCACTTAAGTTGTTTTGAGGAACAGGCCGCAGGTCTCAGTTTATATATATCTTGATAGCCCTTTAAATTCTCTACAGACTGAGCTAGTCAGAATATCTTAACTGGTTGGGCCAGAAGACATGCAAAACGGGCGTTGGACTACGGAAAACAGCTGCAGAATACTCATTTAGAAGTGTTTTCTGTCCTAATGAAAAACTAAATATTTT